TGAGGTCCGATCATCTATGATCGACGAGATTGCTCGATGGGGAACCCGGATAGATGCTCGATTGGACACCATGGATGGCCGTATTACCACGCTCGATACTCGACTCTCGACGTACATAGACTCTCGGACCGTTGACCCTACTCCTCTCCCAACTTCTCATGTCGAGGAACCCGACTCTTCTCTCCCGACTTTGCATGTCGAAGAGCCCGAATCTTCTTCTCTTCCTTCGGATGATATGGTTATGGATACACAATGATCACTCACGGTGTCGAGTACGCATTTTCTTTTCCCTTTTTCTCTTTCTCTTCGTTTTTTTCTAATGCCTTGTGTCTTATGTGTTTTTCTTTTTATTTCTCTCGTGTTTCTAGTATTTTTGCTCTGGTTTGAACTTGTGTGACATGAATTTCTTCCTTATTATTTTTTTAAGCAATGGGACATTGCTTTGTTTGAAGTGTGGGGGAGGATTTCGTGATTATGTGGTTTAAGTGAGTGCTTTTGATGTGTCTTTGTGATTTTCTTTTGTCGAGTTCTTTGTTAGGATGTTTAGTTTTATTTTGGGCCGGTTTTTGTTAGGATAGTTTTGTTGGTTGTGTCGACTTCTCCCGCATGAGGCTTAATGTTTGTTTTATAGTTTGAAATGACGTAGTGGCTAGTTTGGATTGTCGATCGTTTGCACTATTAACTCTCATGATTTATGTGCTCAAGGATTTTGACGGTTTTCATAAAATGAGATGATTATTTGTTGGCATTGGAACTCGCATTCGAATTCACGAAATTTTCGTGTCCTTTGTTCGTTCTTGATTGATGATCTTGATCATGCTTACCTTGTGCTCGATTATGTGTAAACGTGTTATGTTATACACTCGAGTTATGTACCTATTGGATTGATATGATTATGTATTGTATGTTATGTACTCGTGTGTGCCACCCCCTAAAAAAAACAATTTGAATATATGTGGGTTCGCGAGGAAGTACGGATTAGGCTCCTCTTATCTCGAACCACTTCGTGAAACGAGATAATGGGCCCAGGAAACCGGTCTAGGAAACTCAAGGAAACCCCTCGAGGTCACACCTAGATAAGCAATATCTGGAAACCTCGTCCGGAAAAAGAAGCCCATGAAAAAAAAGAGAATAAGAAAATGAGTTCGTGGGAGTTGGACGGATTAGACTCCGCTTGACTTGGTTAGTCTCTTTCGAGATAATCCGAGTCGACGATAACGGGAAACCGGCTTAGGGAACTCGAGGAGACACCTCGAGGGTAAACCTAAGTAATAATCGTCCCGACAACTCTCATTTGGAAAAAGTGTCTCATATATATATAAAAAAAAAATAGGGAGTTGGCTACTTGGTCTTGTTCTTATTATTTTGTACATTGAGAAGACCGTGTTCCTTTGCTTTTTGCACGTATATGTTGAAAAAGGAAAGTTTGATTTGAGTAATTCATGATTGAGCAACTTGGGGCATATTTTTGTTTTGTGGATTCTATGTGGGAACCATGTTTTCAAGTTTGAGTTGAATGTTGTGAATAACTGAATGATAAGGAGAGTCACATAATGCGTGTTTGTTAGTTTTGAACCGTTCGATCTTTTCTCTCGAACCACTTGTTTTATTTGCTTGAGGACAAGCAAAGAGCTAAGTGTGGGGGAGTTGTTTATTGTGTTTTTGTGTTTATTTTTATGTGTTTTTGTGTGCTTTCGAGTCGATTCTAGGTTTATTTTAGTGTCGATCGGTCCATTTTGTCATTTATCGTGTGTTTTCATGTTTTTCTTTCTATTTTATAGTTTGGCGTACTTTTCCGTGCTTTTGTTGTTATTTCAGGTTTATTCCGAGGATGGAGAGGGAGAGTCGAGCCATATTCCGAGAGAGTCTAGCCACATTCCGTGCGACAAGCATTTCCCGAAGAAGACGAGTTTCCGAGAAGTTTCGAGCCATTTAGCAAGACGTCTTGAGCCATTGCGTATGAGATATTTTCATTTCCGAGAGATTCCGAGCCTTAGTCGACTTCGCACCGATACCATTTACCGCTGCACTCGCGAGCTCTCTGGAGTTTCCGCGTCGTCGCGAGCCCCGCCTAGATGAAATTGCGAGCTCTCTGGAGTCGCGGCATCGAGAGCTCTTTGCCACCTTCGTCCAGCGCACTCGCGAGCTCTCCGAAGCTTCCGCGACCTCGAGAGCCACTGCTGACCGTCCGGCGCACCCGCCGAGGAATCCACGACATCGAGAGTGGCATGGTTCCAGCGCCACAGCACGCCACGACTCGCCCTTCTTCCCGCGAGGTCGAGAGCATCATTCTCCATTGCCCTGCCTGTGCATGCCGTCACTCGCGAGCTCGTGAACTTCACGGCGTCGCCGAGAGTGCCCCCACTTAATCTGCGTTTTTGAGTGTATGTTGGTGTTGGAGTATAAATACAATTTGTCCTTTGCATTTTGGAGGAGCTAGCTCATTATTAAACTTTTCTTTTTTGGTTCTTAGGTTAAGTCCTTTATTTCTCTCTAGAGTAAGGTGGATGTTATTTACTCTTTCCAGCGACTTTTTCCGGTGACTTTTCGTTTATGCAAAGTTTAAATCTTTTTCTTCTGATTTCGATCAAGCATACGATAGGGATGTGAGTACTTACTTTTAAGCCTTGTGATCTCGATTTTCGTACTTACTTGCTATCTCGTGCGTAGAAGTAATTAGGGCTTGCTCGATTATCGTATTTTTAGTAGATATTTTAGTTGTTTTCGTTTCTTTTACATTTGTGACCTCGTTTATGATGCTTGGAGTTGATCGATTGATTGATTGCTACTTGAAAAATCGTGACTTTATATTTAGCTCGGTTATTTCGTAGTAGTATTTCAGATTTGGCCTTTAAGCATGCTAAATGGAGTTCGTTTCTCTTATTTTCGTTTTTGTTGCTCTTGACTATGTTAACCGGTTTAGTTGCTAGAATTTCGTAGTTCGTTCTCTTGCTTTGTTGCTCGTTTACTTGCTTTCTCTAGTCGTAATTAGTGTTAATCAACCTCAACCCAAATATGAAATAAATTCTCTCTTGGAGAGCGGGTGCGATTCTCTCTTGGAGAGCGAGGGTTTTCTTCCTTTTCCGATCGATTTCCGACCATCGTTGCTGTTGTTAGTGGTTCTCGTCCTACTTTCTCGTGCTAGCAGTTCTCCCCTTTTTTCTCCATCATCTGGAAGCTCTTCAATCTTATCATTCCCTTCCTTTTGTAGCTGTTGACCTTCTTTTATCCCCAAATTTTAGGGTTTTTTTAGATTGATTATGGCAACCTATCTGAGGGATAATCAAGATGAAGATCTCTCAGCATGCTTATAGAAGTTCTCTCTGTCTGCTAATGAGGACAAAATTTACGACATTGCTCAAGATGATATCAAAGCGAGTCATGATGAATGCCAAAGGAGTCTATTTGGCAAAGTAATAGGTGACAGACCAGCGAGTTGGATTGGGATTAAACGCGCAATGTCTCAAATCTGGAAGCTGAACCAACCCATGGATGTGAAAGAACTTTGCCCTAATTATTTTCAATTCATTTTCCAGAACCGGGACGACATGAAAAAGGTGGCAGCGGGGACAAATTGGAACTTTGAGAATCAGTACATCATTCTCAAAGAATGGATGGTTAACATCAACAGCAAGCATCCCTGCTTCCAGGAACTTAATCTCTGGGCTCAGGTGCAAAATATTCCTCTAAACTGGCTCAGTACGGATGTGGGGCTCAAGATTGGGAAGGCATTCAAGAGTCTTAGAAATGTGGTTATTGCTACTACGGGCAATCATGGGGGTAAACTGCTCAGGCTATTGGTGATAGTGGACATTAATGAGCCCCTCCCCAGAATTGCTAAAATCAGATTGGGAGACCAGATTGTAAGTGTTTGTTTTCAATATGAAAAGTTGATTAACCACTGCCATTACTGTGGCATCATAGGTCACTTAGACCGAGGCTGCAGGAAAAAAATGGAGGATGTCACAAATAACTCTGTTAAAGAAGATCAGTATGGTGAATGGATGAGAGCTGCAGATGGTTTCAAATGGGCGCCTAATGGTATATCTGAGTCCAGGAACTCACCTCCAACAGACTCTCCTGCTATGGAGGTTCATGACACTTCTCATAAAGCATCAACAAGCCAGATCCAGAGTGAAAGCCCTCGTGTTCCAGATCATGAGGTTGTCCCATCCCCTGCGAAATCTGTGGGTTGCTCTTCTCTAGTCTCGGCTAATCACACTCTAAGTCCTCCAAGAGATAACATTAAGGACAACCAACTACAGATAGTGGAATCCACTACCATGGATATGGAAAAAGAAGAGATACCAAGGCAGCCTATGACTATTGATCCTCTGGAGGAATGCTACCCTCCAAACTCTACAGGTACCAGAACTTGAAAAAGAGGGGGAACCAAAAAGGGGAGACTTCAAAGAACATCAGAGGACACACCAATCACAGACCAGTTAATTAGAGGAAAAAGGATCAGATCAGAACCAGAACCTTCAAACAATGTTGAGGAAGGACTAGTCTCCAACAAGGTGCTCTCTAAGAAACTCAAAACTGCGGAAGCTAAGGTGGGGGTTGCCAGCATTGAATGGCACCCCAGTGACAAATGTTAGCTCTGGTGTGGAATTGTAGAGGGCTGGGTAGGCCCTCTACAATTTCCCAAATCAGAGAGTTGCTCAGAACTCATCACCCCAATTTTCTGTTTCTTTCTGAATCTAAAAAACAAAATGCTTTCGTTAAGTCTGTTTGTAATAAGCTTGGTTTTGATAATAGATTTGCTATTGTAGACCCTCAGGGCCTTTGTGGAGGTCTTGTTTTGTGTTGGGATGTTAATGTGGTTATTAGACAGGTTATTTATACAGACTTTTTTATTGCTGTTGAATTTTTGCTTCTCTCATCTGTACCCCAATGGGGAATTTTTGTGTATCTTAGCCCCATTAGAGCTATTAGGGAGTCTCAATGGGATATTTTGTTAGCAGATAGCCACACATGGGGTAATTCTTGGTTTACTATTGGTGATTTGAATGATATCATTTCCAATCATGAAAAATCTGGTGGTCTGCTCAGATCCCAGGCCAGCTTCCAAGGCTTCAAACTCTTCATCAATAATATGGGAATGACTGAAGTAAGTATGGAAGGGCCCCAATTCACCTGGAGCAACAACAGAGCCCTCCCAAATCTGGTGGAAGAGAAACTTGATAGAGCCTTTGGCTCCTTTGATTGGACTCAGAGTTTTCCAAATGCTAAAACCTCAAGTATCATCAGAAGCTCTTCTGATCATTCAGCTATCTTGCTAAATGTTGGCTTGCCCAGGGAGAAAAGATAATCTTTTTTCCACTTTGACAGAAGATGGATTGGAAAGGAGGGATTCCAGAAAACTGTGACAAAGGCTTGGAAAACACCTGTCTCTGGTACCCCTTTCTTTCAGCTTAAAGAAAAAGTTAAGAATACAAGAGTTTCTCTCCTCATCTGGAGCTCTTCCTTCAGAACTTAAAACCAGACAACAATTGCTGACCTCATTCAGAAACTTGAAGATTTAAATGCAGATAGATCAGATATGAATTGGGAGAAATGGGGATCTACTAAAAGTAAGCTGAATAAAGCCCATGCCCAAGAAGAAATGTTCTGGCAACAAAAAGCCAAACATAGATGGTTAAAGGAAGGAGATGCCAACACAAAATTTTTTCATGCCTTTACCCTACAAAGAAAAAAACTCAATGCTATCACAAGGTTGATCAATAATCAAGGCAAAGTTCTCTCATCTCAGAAAGATTTGGAAAAGCATATCTCTGATTTTTACAGTAGCCTTTTCTCTTCTGAAGGATGTTGGGGAGGAGACTCCATCCTCCCTCTCATTCCCAGAAGCATCACCACAGAAATGAACAATGCTCTTCTCAGGCCAGTAGAGAAAGAAGAAGTTAAGAGCTGCCTTTTTAGCTTGAATCCTGATAAATCCCCTGGGGAGGATGGTATGACAGCTGCCTTCTACCAGCATTTCTGGTTGCTCATTGAGGATGATATTATGAAGGCTGTCCTGAGCTTTTTCCATTCAGGTATGATTCTAAAGTATTGGAACCACACTGTTGTCTCCTTAATTCCAAAATGCCCCAACCCTGAATTTCTGAGTCAATTTAGACCCATAAGTCTTTGTACTGTTATTTACAAGATCATATATAAACTTCTTGCTCTGAGACTCAAGGCTTGCCTTCCAAACTGTGTAAGTGACTACCAAGCTGCATTCTTGGAGGGAAGACAGTTAACTGATAATGTCATAGTTGCACAAGAGGCCTTCCACTATCTGAATAGGCATGTCTCTGGCCCAAATTTTTTCATGGCTCTGAAGTTGGATCTCATCAAAGCATTTGATCGAGTTGAATGGTTGTGTCTTAAGAAAATTATGATTCAAATGGGGTTTGACCATAGGTTTGTGAAGCTCATTATGCTGTGTGTTTCAACTGCTTCCTTTTCCTTCAAAGTAAATGGATCAGTAAATGGATTTGTATCACCTTCCAGAGGCATAAGGCAGGGGGACCCTTTGTCCCCCTATCTCTTTATCATTGTTGTTGAATTGCTCACTGCCATTATCCTTCACTCTATCTCCTCTGGACTTCTGAAAGGTATGAAAATTTCAAGGAATGGACCACTCCTCTCTCATCTGCTCTTTGCAGATGACTCACTGTTATTCTGCAAGGCTGGGGTGGATCAAGCTGGAATTATTATGAGCATTCTTGAGCAGTACAGGCTGTTTACTGGCCAGACAGTAAACCTCAATAAATCTGCTATTTTCTTCAGCAAGAGTACACCACAACATCTCCAAAACTCTATCTGCAGGTCCTTGAATGGAATCACTCCTCATAAATCAACTAGATACCTCGGCCTACCCTTGAGTATTGGCAAATCGAAGAAAGAGGTTTTTGAATACCTCCTGGTTGCTGTGAGAAATAAACTAACCTCTCGGAATTCTAAATTACTGAGCTCTACAGGAAAAGAGGTGCTCTTAAAAGCTGTAATTCAAGCTCTGTCTGTTTTTTCCATGAGCTGTTTCATCCTGCCTGTCTCCATATGCTCTGAAATTGCCAGGTTAAGTGCCAAATTCTGGTGGAAATCAGGAACCAACCAATCTACAGGTGTGTCCATTGGAAGAAATGGAACTCTATCACTGTGCCTAAAGATTGTGGGGGGATGGCATTCAATGATCTTCAGCTTTTTAACAAAGCACTTATATGTAAACAACTATGGAGAATTGCCTCTAATCCAGATCTTTTGGTTAGTAAACTGCTCAAAGACAGGTATTTCCCTAACTCCTCTCTCATCCATGCTTCTAAAACTCCCTCTGGCTCATGGATGTGGAATTGCTGAATGGGAGTCATGCCCTTATTTGCAAAATGTCTGAGAATTGAAGTAAGGAATGGTTTGAGCACTAAAATTTCAGACTTCAACTGGGTTCCTGGGCTGAATAAACCTACTCCATCTCTTATCCCAATTGCCAGAGATCATTTGATTTGGGTTAAAGATCTTCTTCACAGCAATGGTTCTCAATGGAATGAATGGCTTATTAAGCAAGTTTTTGATGAATCTGACAGCTCTGCCATCTTGAAAATCTCAACTGCGAATCCTCTTAGACATGACAGGCTCTACTGGGGAGTTGATAAGAAAGGTACCTTTTCTGTGTCCAGTACATATGCCCATCTTTGTTCTCTAAAGATTAGGCAATCTAATGTTCCTGAAAGCAGCTCTTCAATGACCACAAAAAAATCCATCAAATTTAGGCATTGGAAGTTAAAAGTTGCTGGAAAAATCAAGATCTTTGTCTGGAAATGTCTATCTGGTATCCTCCCTGTTGCTGTCAACCTTATGAAAAGAGGTTTTGAATTAGATTCAACATGTTCTTCTTGTGGAGCTGTAGTTGAAACTTTGGAACATATCCTGTTCTTATGTCCCAGAGCTATTAAGGTGTGGAAATTAAGCCATGTCCAATGGGATGGATTTTCAAACTTCACTGACTCTTTCAAACACTGGTGGTATCAAGTTTGTTCCTTAGATCACTCCGAAGTCTCCGAAGCAAGAATCCAGCTCACCACTTACATTCTTTGGTGGCTTTGAAAATCGAGGAACTTATGGATTTTCCAACACTCTCTCATCTCGGAGCACTCTATTCTCAGGCTTGCGCATTCTGACTGGTTGGACTTCTCCAATGCTTCTTCTGGCTAGCTTTTGTTGGTTTTTTCTGTTCTTTTTTTTTTTTCTTTCTTTCGAGGGAAGTCCTCTTTGCTAGGCTTTGTAGCAGTGGCGAGAGTCTTTGCCTGGTTTGTTTTTCTCCTGTTTTGGTTGTTGTTTGTTTTTCTGTTTGTTGAGGCTTTAGACCGCGTGTTGCGTGTCTCTCAATTTTTATTTTCGATTTGGATTAGTCCTTTGTATTCGAACTCGGTTCGCTTGAGATTTATATAGTTATTTCTGTCGTTTTGGGAAAAAAAACCTCAACCCAAATTGATTAGTATGTTTAGGACTTTATTTTCCATTTTTGTGATTTGAGCGATTGAATAATAAGTAAAGCTCCGACTTGCCTTCCCTCGAGATCGACCCGAGTCGGGTAACTCGGTTATCCTTTACCCACCGCAAAATTAATGGGATGCTTACTAGTTAATTAGAAAACACTATAAATTGACAGTTAGGTTAGAAATATATGCATTAATATATAAGGGAATTTCGATATATACATAAAATTTTAGGCCAGAAAATCCAAAACTAATTATATCTAAATACAACACTCTTGGATTACCTGCAGGCTGTAAAGTTCAGTAGCTATAAATGAAATTCTATTTAAAAATCATTTTAAAGTTTTTAATAATTCCTTATATATATACTTTACTAGTGTTGATAGCCGTGCGATGCACGGAATGTAATGCAAAAAATATTTTATTATTTATATATTATAAAATTATTTAAGAAAATATGAATTTATATTCTCTACAATATTGTATTCAGTAATAATACGATATTTATTTATTTACTATTATTAATTTCTATTTTAATTTATTTTTGTAGTTTTTAACTATTTATATATAAATTTTATTTACAATTTTATAAAATATTACAAATGTACAATCATATGATATTTGCATACAAATTACTTACATGTATTTATAATATTGTCGATTATCATATAAAAAGTTCATAATTTGCACATTGCTTGAAAATTGACCAAAGTTTAACCCATAATATTCATCTCCCGCTATAATTATTAAGTGCATGAAATTATATAACTTTAATAAATAATTATTAATTGTTAGTAACTTTAATCCTTATGCAACACACATTTTTTTTTGTTAGATATTTTATTTTTACTTCTTCATTTTTTATTTACATTTATTTCTTTAATTCATTATTTCAACCTATGAAATGAGTTAAGTAATATATATCCAAATACTTAGATATGTTATATATTGACATAATTAACAAAGTGCTATATTTAAATTATTATATATTAGTATTTTATCAACTTATTTTCATTTATAAAATAGTATAAAAGAAGAAAAGTATATTTTTAAAAATTGAATTATTTATTAATGTACATAGACATTTCATAGGTGAAATTTACAATTCTGAATTACACCCGAGCATCAAATATTATTTTTATTAGTATATTACTTTATTTTTCAATAGTGTTATCACTACAAATGATATTAAGTTAGTATGATTAAACATAGTTATTCTGATTATTTTATTAACTATTTTAAGTACTTCTAAATAGTCAATAAAATCAATTTAATTAAAACTTACACCATAGGTGATAATATATTTAATCAAATTATTTATTATAATAGTTTTTTGGACTGTGTCAATAAATTACTATTAAATTAATATAAGATTTTATTAAAAATATGTCTATAGACCTATGGTCAGATTTTCAATATAAGAAAATTTGTATTAATGAATATTAGTCATTGAATGCATAAAAATTAATTATATTTTTCATGCATAATATTTACTAATAAATAATTGTTAATTAAATTTCAAAGATAGATGAAAAAATTTTCCTTTCAAAACTATGCTAATTATGATTGTTATCATCCAACTCGGCAAAACACCATCAAGAAGTTCCAAGCATCATGTTACAGTGAAATTAACTATTGAACCGACACGATTCAAGACCACGCTGGTCCACGTAATAAACCGGTCCGAACTACCGGAGACCGAAGTAACCGAAGTCATCATCTCCTACCCACCGAGGTCAACTTAAACCGAGATCATCACCTCTTAAAGCAGGTGACAAGGCACCTACGCACCCCCGCCACGAAT